CAAATAAAAATTAGAGCAGAATTAAATGAAATAGAAAAAGAATTGAAAGAATTAACAAGACCAAAAGCTGGTTCTTTGAAAAGATCAACAAAATCAATAAACCAGTGGCCAAACTGACAAAAGAAAAATAGGAGAGGAAGCACATAACCCAAAATAGAAATGAGATGGGTGATATCACAACAGACCCAACCGAAATTAAAAGAGTCATAACAGAATACTATGAAAAACTGTACTCTAACAAATTTGAAAACCTACAGGAAATGGACAAATTTCTAGAAACACACTACCTATCTAAACTAACACAAACAGAGGTAGAACAACTAAATAAACCTATAACAAAAGAAGAGATTGAAAAGGTAATTAAAAAACTGCCAACAAAAAAAGCCCTGGCCCGGATGGCTTCACTGGAGAATTCCACCAAACTTTCAGAGAAGAGTTAACACCACTACTACAAAAGGTATTTCAGAGCATAGAAAAGGATGGAATACTCTCAAACTCATTCTATGAAGCCAGCATAACCCTGATATCAAAACCAGGGAAAGACACCACAAAAAAAGAAAATTACAGACCAATATCCCTCACGAAGACAGATGCAAAAATCCTCAACAAAATTCTAGCCAATAGAATTCAACAACATATCAAAAAAATAATTCACCATGATCAAGTGGGATTCATACCAGGTATGCAGGGAAGGTTCAAACTAGAAAAACAATCAATGTAATCCAACACATAAATAAAACAAAAGACAAGAACCACATGATCTTATCAATTGATACAGAAAAGGCATTTGACAAAGTTCAGCACCCATTCATGATAAAAACTCTCAGCAAAATAGGAAGAGAAGGGAAATTCCTCAACATAATAAAGGGCATCTGTCATGGTTTGAATTATGTCCCCCCCAAAATGTGCATATCAATTTGGCTAGGCCATGATTCCCAGTGTTGTATGGTTGTCCTCCATTTTGTGATTGTAATTTTACATTAAAGAGGATTATGGTGGGATTGTAACACCACCCTAACCCAGGTCACATTCCTGATTCAAGGTAAAGGGAGTTTCCCTGGGATGTGGCCTGCACCACCTTTTATCTAAGAGAGAAAAGGAAAGGGAAGCAAGCGGAGAATCAGGGGACCTCATACCACCAAGAAAGCAGTGCCAGGAGCAGAGCATGTACTTTGGACCCGGGGTCCCTGCGCGGAGAAGCTCCTAGTCCAGGCGAACATTGATGAGAAGGCTGACAGCGAGAGAAAGCTTTCCCCTGGAGGTGACACCATGAATTTGGACTTCTAGCTTACTAGACTGTGAGAAAAAAAAATTTCTCTTTGTGAAAGCCATCCACTTGTGGTATTTCTGTTGGAGCAGCAATAGGTGACTGAGACAGCATCTATACAAAGCCAACAGCCAACATCAACCTAAATGGAGAGACTTTGAAAACATTCCCCTTGAGAACTGGAGCCAGACAAGGATGCCCTTTATCACCACTCTTATTCAACATTGGGCTGGAGGTCCTAGCCAGGGCAATTAGGCTAGAAAAAGAAATAAAGGGTATCTAAGTTGGTAGGGAAGAAGTAACAGCATCTCTATTTGCAGATGATATGATCTTATACACAGAAAACCCCAAAGAATCCACTAGAAAACAACTGGAACTGATAGAAGATTTCAGCAAAGTATCAGGATACAAGATAAACATACAAAAATCAGCTGGATTCCTCTACACCAACAAAGAGAACTTCGAAGAGGAAATCACCAAATCAATACCATTTACAATAGCCCCCAAGAAGATAAAATACTGAGGAATAAACCTAATCAGAGACATAAAAGACCTATACAAAGAAAACTACAAGACACTACTGCGAGACACCAAAAGAAACCTACACAAGTGGAAAAACATACCTTGCTCATGGATAGGAAGACTCAACATTGTGAAAATGTCTATTCTACCCAAAGCCATCTACAGATAATCCCAATGCAAATGCCACTGGCATTTTTTAATGAGATGGAGAAAACAAATCACGAACTTCATAGGGAAAGGGAAGAGGCCTCGGATCAGTAAAACATTACTCAAGGAGAAGAACAAAGTGGGAGGCTTCACGCTACCTGATTTTAGAACCTATTATACCACCATGGTAGTCAAAACAGCCTGGTACTGGTCCAACAACAGATACATAGACCAATGGAACAGACATAAATTCATCCACCTATGAGCAGCTGATATTTGACAAAGGCCCAAAGTCTGTTAACTGGGGAAAAGACAGTCTCTTTAACAAATGGTGTTGGCATAACTGGATATCCATCTGCCAAAAACTGAAAGAAGACTCATACCTCACACCATGCACAAAAACTAACTCAAAATGGATCAAAGACTTAAATATAAAATCGAAATGATAAAGATCATGGAAGAAAAAAGGAAGTTTTTTTTAAAGAACTGGAGGGGATATGAGATCCAGAGAAGGTGTAATTTATTTTTAATTAGCTATTAGAGGATGTTGGTCTATCGATAGGAATATTCCAAAAACCAAGGGAACCAGATGAAGCGGGAGAGCAGGGAGCCTCTGCAGGACAGAAATTCCGTAGGTGGGAGAATTGGGTGTTGTAGAATCAAGAATACCCCATCCACTATGACAAGTGAGAAAGTAGAAAATACTCTTAAGTGCTGGTAGACTGGGGGGTTTGGAAGTGGACTTTGAGGTTCTTTGGAGTTCACTTATTTGCTGGTCCCGTCCCTTGCCACTCCTCACTGTACCCTAAACTCCAGCTACTCCTCAACTCCCAAACAAGTCAGACTTTTTAAGGCATCTGTTCCTCTGCATGGGCTTCTCTCCTGGCTGGAATACTGTTCCTCTTTCTTTTTTTTTTTTAATCTTAGTAAACATTTTCTCGTTCTTTAAGACGTGCCTCACTTCTCTTGTTAAGCCTTCCTTGACAGCTCCCTTTCCTCCCAAGTAGCTTCCGGCACGCCCAGCTGTGTTCCTAGCGCACTTCGGACTTCTGTACACACCTTCACAAAAGTACATATCACACTCTACACCATCACTGGCGCCCTGGTGGAGCAGTGGTTAAGAGCTATGGCGAGCTACGGCTGCTAACCAAAAGGCCGGCAGTTCGAATCCACCAGTCGCTCCCTGGAAACCCTATGGGGCAGTTCTACTCTGTCCTATAGGGTCACTATGAGTTGGAATCAACTCGACAGCAACGGTTTTTTTTTTTTTTTTTTTTTTTTTAACACCATCAGTTACTTATAAGTTGTTTCATGCACTGGTCGATGAGCTTGCTGAGGGCAAGAACTGTGCCTCACACACCTTTGTATCTGCGGTGTCTGGAGCTGACATGTTAGATGCTCAGTGGATTGTGTGCTGAATGAATGAGGATCTCCCCAAAGGCAGAGATTATGACAGATTAGTGTAACATTATATATTTACTCAGTGGGAAAGAAAAGAGTTTTCTCAGCGTCACAGACTTCCATGCTGTCCTCTGGAACTGAGTGCCTTCCTGCCTCTAGCAGGCCAACGCATTACTCAGCCAGCAGACATCGTGTGGCTCAGGGAGATAGCCCGGGCTGCAACAGCACGAGATAACCTGCTATGACTTTGTGAATGTTTTTCTTTACTTGGCAAAACTTGTGGTTTCCTTGTGACGGGCTAGTTGTCGAGCTGATATGTTCAATACAGAATAGTGGTTAAGGATGTGGACTCAGTTTTTAGGTAGACTGGGCCAGGGTTCTGGATCTAACCACCTTTATCAGCTATGCGTTCTTGGCCAAGCACTTACCGAATACAGGACAATTACGAGGAGTCCTGATCTCTAGGGTATATACAGCACTTAAACACTGCCCTCCTGATAAACGACATTGGCAGAAAGTATAAAACATCTTCTACTGAAATTAGGCCTCTCAAGTCTGTTTTGATTTTAAATGATATCATATAAAAGACATAACTTGTGTTTGGTTCTGTTCAATATCTTATTGAATGTCATCCCACCACCAGAAGTAATTAGCAATGATTTTCAGCACCGAGTATTTCTGCAGGGACTCAAGTCTGAAAACTCATGGAGAGGTGTGTACGGCTGACAGTATAACTTGAAGGAAGGAACGGAGGCCACTCCAATGTGACTCCCTGATGCCTAGGCCAGAGCAGACACAGAGAGACAGGACAAAACGGGAGGGAGGTTCTAATAAATGGGTACAGTAAATACACTGTAACTTCTTTTTCTCACAATTAGGATGCAACAAACGGACGATCAAGCTGAGTTTTAAAATGCTTACTCTAAGAGCTCTTTTCAGACAAAGGCTAGATGCATTGGTTTTCCACTTTCAAACACACTGTGTTAGCAAGAGAAAGCAAAGGGGTACCACCAATCTATTACGTCTAATAACGTAAGCAGGCACTTTGGGCTGAAAACACAGTAACCGTTCTGGAACAGCGTCTAGCTCCCTTAGCGACCTGAAGACATACAGAGGCAGGGATTGTTGTGTTAATGCTGGGTTTTCTGTTAGCAAACTGATTGCCACTCCATTCTCAGTTTTGAAAAGTTACGAAGGTGCAGAAAACAGAATGCACAATTTACAGGTTGTAACAAATGGTTTTTACTCTAAAACTATGAGAAAGATTTTAAGTAAAGCATGGAATTGGTGAAAAGTAAATGAACTCAGTTTTTAAGTAAAAATTCACTCTATCTCATACCATGCCCTTGTAGTTTAGGTTACAAAAAAAGTATTTAGTATGTGCTGGGTATAGGGCGTACTAAAAAGCTCAGTAAGTCACAGACACTGTCCAGTCACGGTTTAGTTGGGGAGAGAGACATAGCGTCAATGTGTGCTCAGGGTACCATGGGCTTGGGGTGGGTAGGTAGAAGGGGTACTAGCCGGTCTGGGTGACACAGTTAGTGTCTGCCGACTGCCTACACAGTATCCATCCCTCCCTCCATCTCCCCTTCCTAGGAGGACAGAGGTTGAGAGTCCGACAGCTCAGAGATCCCAGCCCTTCTCAGCTTCCCATGGCACTTACAGCTTGTAGTGAACTTTGGCCACCCCTCCTGCTAAATCATCTTGCACTTTTCTCGGTTTTGTGCTGAGGACATTTCTTCTCAATTACAAAGAGAGCTCCTCGACGGCAGGGACTCTGGCATACAGTTCCAGAGGATTTTCGTAATAGTTGGCACAGTGCTGGGCACCCACAGCAATGCTTGCGTCCTTGCCATAGAAAGCCACCCTCACGTGGAATCCAGTGAGAATCGCTTAAGGGGAAACTCGCAATGAGCTGCCTGAAGAACATAACACATCACGTGACTTTGGGCACGGGAGAAATATTCTACAAATGTACTTTGTTGAGCTTGTTGAATCCGGATCTTACAGACAGCATCAGGAAAAATTCAGTTAATAACACTGTAACATTGTGAAAGGCATTTTCGCCACTAAGAAATAAACCACAAGTACTATAATCCAGCAGCTTAAAATGCAGTCCTTCAAAATACAAGAATAAAGCCCACAGATTCCAAAACAAGGGTTTAACAAAAGCTACAATGGACAAATTGTTAAGCTTCATGAGTTTGCTCATGGCCTTTGGAAACACTTTGCTAGAATATTTTTTATACCCATAAAACAAAAGACAAAATACTTAGCAAACATCCAAATTTCTTCCTAAAACAGGAGCCCTTGCCTACCTCCTAACAAGTGTATCTATAAATGTCTAATAAAATGCTTTGTGGAGTCTAATTTCTCGTTTCCGTACTTACAACAAAACATGACTACTGACCATGTATTTCTGGATTTGGAGAGAAAGGCCTCTTTTGTTTATGGATGTTTTGAACTAAATGAATATAGATTATTGTGTGTGTGTGTTTTTCTTGGCAGTGTTAATGCTGGTATTTTCCCATCAACTGTGATGAATAGTTTGTATAGTTATACAACTGGATTTTGTCACAACATCTACTGAGAGTTACCACCACTATTTTTATTTGTGTGTAAATGACAGATATCGCAGGCACAAAGGCTGCCTTCGGTTTAGAACACATTGATAGCTTTCTACTCATGGAGCAAGGAGGGGAAATCCCAACTTCACACAAATGGAGGGAGGCACGAAAATGTTCATTAAATCACAAATGCTTTAACTTTCAGAGGGGGTAGTCAACTGAAGCCATTTTAGTTTATGGATTCATTTCTGCAATTTCCCTTCCCATATAAGTAATAAAAAATATCTACCCAAGTCTTTTTTTATATGCAGAATTTAAAAATGATTTTCTTTTGTAGTTCTCTAGAAAAATTACAACAACAAAATTCTGACTAGTCTGTTCTTTCTCCCCTAACTTCTTGCAAGATCAACATATACCAAGTTTTGTAGGTAGTTAAGGTGATGTCTGGATATGGAATATGGAAATCCAAATTCCAAGGCCAGAAATTGTATGGAAGAAGAACATTCCTGTAGCAATTACCACAGTCCAGAATCAAATCATTTAAGTGCTAAACCAACTAGGTTTTATCTCAATGTCCAAAGTCTTATTACAGAAAGAGATTATATTCTTTCTTGTCCTTTCTTCCCTATACATGTCCTAGAGTCTATTTGTGTACAGAGATTCTTGTTGCCTCTAATCACAGAGGTAAACTCCCACTGAGCTGGAAAATGCGATCTTTATATGGAAGCATGGAAGGGCATTGACAAGGCTACTTTTTGAAGCACCCAGAGGGATCAATTCAATCTAAATCAATATACATTATATGGGCAAACTGCCTTCTGCCAGGCACACTGCCAGGTGTGAGTGGGGCAAAAGTAAGAGTTCTTACTCTTGAACATCGCAGAATCTCCTAGTGGGAGGGAGGTGTAACTCCACAATTATAACACCGTCTGACAACTCCTCCATCAGAGAGGCATAAGGACCCCAGGTGTACAGGAGAGGAGACCCAGCTGGTTTGGAAGGGCCAGGAAAGACATTCTGGAAGAAATGACCCTTCAGTTTTAAGTGGACCAGGGAAAGAAGCTGACCCAAAAAGAACAAGAGCATATTCAAAGGAATGGTGATTGGAGAAAGCCTGGCACAGCTGGGGAAATGTATGTCCACAAGGACCTCTGGATGGTATGTGGAAGAAAGGAGATAGAAGTTGGTGGGAACGCTAGGCTGAGTCCAGATCACGACGGGCTTAGTATGTAACACCAAGGATGGGAGACACTCACAGGAAGTGATGTGGTCGTTTTGTGTTTCAAAAGATCACCCTAATCCTAGCTGACGGTGTAGAAGTGGTTAGGAGCCTACTGCAATATCTAGGAAGGAAAGGAAGAACAAGGGTCTGATCTAAAAACAAAAACTAAAAAAAAAAAAACCAGTTGCCATTGAGCACTGAGCTGATTCCGACTCACGGTGACCCCATACGTACAGAGGAGAACTGGGCTACCTAAGGCTTTCAAAGCTGTGAATGTTCAGAAGCAGATCGCCAGGCCTTTCTTCTGCAGTGCCTCTGGGTGGGTTTCAACTGCCAATTTTCTGGTTAGCAGTCGAGTGCTTAACCATTTGCGCCACCCAGGGACTTCTGAACTAAGAGCACTCAGGGGTGGGGAGGGAAAGAAGTGGGAAGATTCACGGGAGATAACAGGAGTTAGAATTTACAAGATTTTATGACTCAGGCAACACCTCACCTCCCAAACAGCAGTGCTTATGCTAGTCTGAGAGCTCTCTCAGGAAAACAGTGTTTCATATGCCAGAATCCAACACCTAGCACTGTAACGAGGGTCCCTGGGTGGTGCAAATGGTTAAGCACTCAACTACTAGCCAAAAGGTTGGCAGTGCGAACCCACCCAGAGGCACCTCAGAAGACCAGCCTGACTATCTGCTTCCAAAGGTCACACACAGCCTTGAAAACTATGGAGCAGTTTTACTCTGCACACATGCGGTCGCCATGAGTCAGAACGGACTCCACGGCCGCTGACAATCACAGCACTGTAAGTGGAAGCCACTCGGCGCTCCATATGTATTGAATGAACGCTTGGATTAAGAATTTCAACTAACTCCCTTGCGTAGCACCTCCATTCGTTGGTGCGCTCAGATGAAGGTCTGTCTGCTAGCAGCTTTTGCCTGGTGTATTCAACCCTCCTTCTAGCTGCACTCTCCCCTCTCTCTGGAACTCCTAGCTGATGCAGTGTACTGTGAGGCCAGGCAGCAGTAATGACATTTAAATTTATAAACTATCACAAATTTACAGCGATAAGAAAGCATACCACAGGAAGAACTAGAGGGTGTTTCATTAGTCAGTCAGCCCCTAGAAGGAAAAGGAGTAAAGAGAGGAGACCTCACTGGCAGTCTCGCCACACCATTTATTAACTGTGTAGTGGTAGGATAATTTCCAGCTACTCAATGTACAGAACAAAACATACAACTTGACTTGGACTGCTGTGAATGGCCAGCAGAACTTACTGAACAATTTAGAGGAAGTAGAACATAAGGAGCCCTCGTGGCACAGTATAAGGGTTTGGCTGCTAACCAAAAAGTCAGCAGTTTGAACCCACCAGCCACGCAGAAATCCTATGGAGCAGTTCTGCTGTCCTGTAGGGTCACTATGAGTTGGAATTGACTCTGCAGCAATGAGCTTGGTTTTTTGGTTCAGAACATAAGGTTTCATTACTACTTTAACAGCTACACTAATGCTAAGGTCTCTACAAAACTTTATGCTTTGATAATTTTTGATTAAAAAATACATTTTTCAAAAACGAATCTTTTTTAAAATTTTATAGTGTTTTAGGTAAAAGTTTACAGCACAAATTAGTTTCTCATTCAAAAATTTATACACAAGTTATTTTGTGACATGGGTTGCGATCCCCGCAATGTGTCAGCAGTCTCCCCTTTCCCATTCCACCCTGGGTTCTCCATGTCCCTTTGTCCAGTTTTTCTCTCCCTTCCTGCCTTCTCGTCTTTGCTTTTGGGCAGGTGTCGCCCAACTGGACGTGTTTACTTGATTGAACTAAGAAGTACATTCCTCACGTGTGTTACTGTTTGTTTTATAGGCTGGTCTAATCTTTGGCTGAAAGGTAGATTTCAAGAGTCGCTTCAGTTCTGAGTTAGCAGGGTGTCTGGGGGCCATAGTCTCAGGGGTTCCTCCAGTCTCTGTCAGACCAGTAAGTCTGGTCTTTTTTTGTGAATTTGAATTTTGTTCTACATTTTTCTCCCACTCTGTCTGGGACCCTCTGTTGTGATAATTGTCAGAGTGGTCGGTGATGATAGCTGGGCACCATCTAGTTCTTCTGGGCTCAGGCTGGTGGAGGCTGTGATTTATCTGGTCTACTTCCTTGTGTCTTTGGTTTTCTTCATTTTCCTTTGCTCTGAATGTGATCAGACCAATAGATGTATTTTTAGTTCCTGCTTGCAAACTTTTAAGACCCCAGAGAGTACTCACCAAAGTAGGATGTAGAATGTTTTCTTTATCAACTATGATATGCCAATTGACTTAGATGTGCCCTGAGACCATGGTCCCCAGCCCTCAGCCCCAGTAATTAGGCCCTTAAGGTGTTTGGATGTGTCTAGGAAACTTCTATGGCTTTGCCTCAGTCACCAAGTTGTGCTGACTTCCGCTATACTGTGTGTCTTTCCTTCCACCTAAGTTAACACTTGTCTACTATCTAGTTAGTAATTTCCCCTCCCCAACCCTTCCCTCCCTCATAACCATCAAAGATTTTGTGTGTGTGTGTGTGTGTGTGTGTGTGTATGTATGTAAACCTTTTAGGTTTTGATAACAGTGGTCTCATACAGTATTTGTCCTTTTGTGATTGACTTATTTCACTCAGCATAATGCCCTCCAGATCCATCCATGTTGTGAGATGCTTCGTGGACTCCTCATTGTTCTTTATCGTTGCGTAGTATTCCATTGTGTGTATGTACTATAATTTTGTTTATCTATTCATCGACTGTGGGCACTTAGGTTTTTTTCCATCTTTTTGCTATTGTGAATAATGCTGCAATGAACATGAGTGTGCTTATGTCTATTCATGTGACGGCTCTTATTTCTCTAGGATATACTGCTAGGAGTGGAATTGCTGGATGGTATGGTTTATCTATTTCTAGCTTTTTAAGGAGGCGCAATATCATTTTCCACAGTGGGTGTATCATTTTACATTCCACAGCAGCGCATAAGAGTTCCAATGTCCCCACAACCTCTCCAACATTTGTTATTTTCTACTTTTAGGTTAGTGCCAGTAATGTCGGGGTGAGAAGATAACTCAGTGTAGTTTTGATTTGCATTTCTCCAATGGCTAATTATTGGGAGCATTTCCTCATGTGTCTGT